GTGCTAGACTAGTCTTGTTGGCGATGTTAATAGCTGGATATTGGGTTGGCGTTGATGATGAAAGACACGAAATCCGACGATAGTATGTATTTCCATATTCCATATGATAGATTCAATCTACATGTAGTAAATTACAAACGAAACGACTGTCAAAGTCTGATATCACGGGTAAAAAAAAAGACAGACAATAAGAAAAGAGACGATCAACAACGCCCAACAACAACCTGATCACACTCGGCTATGAACTTACGAATCCCCTCGGAGCCCTCGTACTCAGAGGCAGTCTCCGGGAACCCATAGCTCACAACCTCAGGAAAGAATGCCCGATCACCAAGCTCACTCACGTTGATGCTGGAATACCCCGAGGACGACTTGGCCCATGGGTTGGAGCCGAACATGGCCGAGTCGTCGAAGCTGATCTCGTTGCTTGGTCGTCGGTGGCCGTATTCTGGGGATACCTGTGTGTCGCCGTCTTCGACTGACATCATCGCTTGCCAGTCGACTTTGTCGGGCCGTTGCGACGGGGTGATCTCCGCGCGGAAGAAGAAGTCGTCTGTATCCGTAGATGGAGCGATGCTTGGAGCGAAGGGGAAAAGGAGCGCTAGTTCGGCGCCTGTGCGGATGTCGAAGTCTGCGTCTTGCGTGATCTTTCCGCGCTGGACGCCGACTTCATCACAGAGTCGCTCGACTGTCTCGGCGTCGCAACCTGGGAATCTAACTCTGATGGTTGATCTATCTTGGAGTAGTATCGGTAGGTCACCGAGAGCCGACAGTCGCTTGAGATCGTTCAAAACAGCGGCCAAGTCCTTGAGGGCACGGGCGAAATCGGCGGAGAGGAAGTCCAAAAGGCCCTCGGAGTTAAGGGTCTCGGTCTCAACGCTAGCTCCGGCAAACTTCTTCTGAAGACCGAAAGCAGTAATGGTGGGCGAGATCTGGAAATCGATGGAAGATCCAGGGGCTGTGCGAGGGATAGCGGTCATCTTACGCTCGGCCTCATCCTGGAGCACCGTAACGGTCTTGAATTTCTTGTTTCCGGTGACAGAGTCAATGCCATCGAACCGAGCCTTCTGCCCCGAGAGGAAGAAAGCCCGAACACCCACGGATACATTGTTTATAACTTGAGCTGGCGCAGCTGGACCATGCGAAAAGTATCGAGCACCTCCGACACGGCCTGCACCGATCACATACCCCCCCGCGGTACGGCCGAGGGTACCTCCGGTGAGGTTCGGACGAAGAGCAGAAGCGAACGGCGCCCGACTGGTGAGGCGGCTGATATTGGCCGCAATTCGTGATGTCCGATACGCAGCCTGGTCACCCTGGGCCGCTGCCTTGAAGTATGAAGCGAAAGAGCCTGCCGCACGGGTGGAGAAGTGGCGACTGCGGGCTTGACGAATGGCTGCGGCGCGATTGATGGGCTGTTGGGGGGTAATTCGCACATATGCTGGCTGGAGGCGAAGCGAAACTTGTTGAGACGGCTCTGGTAACTTTGCCCTTACGGCTTTGTACGCCTTCGCGTAGGCGAACCTATAGAGCTGTCAGCAACCCCAGCAGAAGTATACACTGAGTGGCGAGTGACTCACCTAGCCGCTCTCCAGAGCTTCGGGAGCAGCAGGTGCCCACTAGACGGAGGCATCCTGGCAATAATATTTCACAATTCTAGAGAGAAATGGAAGATGAGAATGTCATCCTCGAGATGAACTCGATGATAAGAAAGAAGACAAGAGACGGATGCCTGATGACGAGGGAGTCGAAACCCGGTGGCAGTGGCGGTGCTGCATGTGACCGGACGGCACGTGCCTCAGGCACGGCGAGAACCGGCACCTGTTCGCCAATGACATCTCTCAAATTTTGACAAGTTGAGAAGAATAATGAATTGGTATTTGAGCTTCTAGATTTTGCAATTGTTTCAATAAGATAATGGGGAGGGTTGGAAGACCTAGGGTGATTTGAGTTAGGAGACCGGTACTCTCCGCTCGAGAACGTTCAAAAGACAGGGCTACATATTACTGATTAGGCCAAATAGCACGGAACGACAAAATCTATATTCTTATTGCGAAGTATCTACTCATCATCACCGAAGAAGACCTTGATAGGAAGCCAAGCATCACCACAGACCTTGAAGCGATCCTTCAAGTTGTCCAGCTGGTTAACCTCCTCAGCGGTCAAGTCCCAGCCATCAAGCTCAAAGTTGGCATCGATGCGAGACTTGCTGACGGACTTGGGGATAACACTCCAGCCCTTTTGCAGACCCCACGCGAGCAGCACTTGTTGAGGGGTCTTGCCCTTCTTCTCAGCCAGCTGGAGAAGGGTCTGGTCTTTGTAGAGGGGAGAGTTGGTGGATCCGAGGCATGAGTATCCGGTGGAGTGGATGCCCTTGGATGTGTTGTAAGCGACCAGCTTGGGGGAAGGGTTGTTGGGGTGCAGTTCAATCTGGTTGACGGCGGGGACGATCTTGGTGCTGGGATCGTTGAGGAGTTTCTCTAGGTTCCTAATTCCGAAGTTCGAGACACCGATGTTGCGGACCTTGCCGGTGGCCGGGAGCTTCTGCATCTCTTGCCTATTCTGCGGTTAGTCGCTGAGCTAAATCAGGGTCAAAGAGGGAACTGCAACGCACCATGTCTTAATGAAGTCCCAGTCGGGGAGGTGCTTCTTCAGGTCGTTGGGGTCGGTCGAGCTGGGCCAGTGCACAAGGTAGAGATCGACATAGTCAACGCCCAAGCTCTTGAGGGAGGAGTCAATTCCCTCAGGCACGCGGTGGTGCCAGGGGTTGTCAAGCTTTGTGGTGATCCAGATTTCCTCGCGGGGAACTCCAGAGTCGCGGATACCCTGTCCAACCTCATGCTCGTTGCCATAAGCAAGCGCACTAGATCGACGGTCAGGGATGTCTTAAAAAACGTTCAGAAGCGACTTACGTGTCAATGTGACGGTAGCCCTTCAGCAGAGCGTTCTTAACGGCCTCTCGGACCTCGTTGGGCTTGGACTGCCATGTTCCAAGACCAAGGGCGGGGATCTTGTCCCCAGTGTTGAGGGTGTAAAACTTCCTAGTAGGAGCGAGGTGGTTCAGCAATTGCTTCGTCCTCTGGAGTGCGCTTCATTGTCGATACGAATGAGGGGAAAGATCTCAAAGTAACACGTGGACTGCGAGCACTTACTTGGTGTTCTCGAGGTTGGCCATCTTGCTCGTGATAAGAGGTGGAATTGGATTGAGAGTTAGAAAAGCAAAGAATCACGAGAGGGTGAAAAAAGTCCTGAGAAGAAATTATCCGGCGGAGGAGGGGGGGAGATTTAAAGGAAAAATTGCGATCTCCGAAATAGCACAGCAAGGCAGGTCCATCCAGCATCCCCGGAGGGGCAATGATGACATCCATCATGAGTGGAGCGCGCCGGTGGAGAGCTTGGGCCCGATTTCTCTTTATCCTGACCAGTCGCGGTTTTTTTCTGAATTTAACCGCGCCCTAGAACTTTATTGGCCTTGGGAGTCGGGGAAGCGTGTGCGCCGTGCGGTTCCTCCTCTCGAGTCCCTTTCGACAGCACAACGTCCTAGTCAAATACATGCGGAGTAGCGCTGAGATGCGGCATCCGGGCTTCCTCCGTTACATGTAGATGGTATCTACCACAGCGAAAGGACCAAGGACAGGGAAATTAACCCATTTTGCTAGTACGAGGCGCATCGACTCTACGGAGTAGGTTAATAGTACTAGTACTAGTACCGGCATCTAGATAAGCGCATAAATCAAATATGAAATGTAAGCTACAGTAGGATGCTTGGTATTTGTATCTAGTCGACCACAACGTGTTCGCTGCCCTGGATCTGCTCCATAAAAAAAAATTTTTACATGAGCCTTTACGATTTGCGCCAGCACTTCAGTGTCGTAGTAGGAGGTAGGTATTCTTTTGGTACTGTCCCATTCAAATACTCGTCCACCGAACGAAGCTGGCTAGAGCAGAGGTTAGGAAAGAGGTTAGGAAACAGCTTTCGACAAAGTTCGCCTATATTAACCGCTTGAAAATTCGACGCATTCCGATGGGTGACTTTTTCTTGAATCAGTTGGCTGTCCCCGGCGATGATTCTCAGGAAATACTACAAATCTTGAGCAACGAACATATGGGCAGAGCCTTTCCAACAGTGAGTTGACATACAGGGCCCAAGAGATCCAGAATCACCCTCACCATTGTCACTAGACGTCACTTCAAGATGCCATGAATCTTCTGTACCATCTCCCCCGTTGAACCCTCTTCGGCGTACCTGATTTAGTTGGAGCCGGGGCCATTAGGAACTACCTTCTGCAACATCTCTAAGATGAGCCCGTTAAACTTGATTGTGTCACCAGAGGCGATCCCTTGGTTGTACCTCCTTCTTTTCTTTCCCCGGGGGGTTTCCGTGGCTGGGTCAGGTTGCGCGCGGCCTTAATTCGCCGTCACTCTCACTTCCAGCCTCTTGTTATCCAGGGTTTTTTTCTTGGACGTTCAATTGATGAGCAACGGTATCAGGGGCCGGCAGCAGCATTGTCAATTCAAAGACCTGTCCACCTAGGAGATGAGACCTTACTTTTTTGTTATGCTTTGAGATTCCTGGGGTAGTTGGGTCTGTTGTTCTGACGGTTGAAAGTGTTGAACCCACTTCTTCGCGACGAGGCCCTTGCGTTGAGTCGAGATGTTTGGCGTGGGCCTCTTTCACACGTATATTCTCTTGCGGCGCTTGTTAGAGAAAGGTTGAAGGGACGTAGTAAGAGCCGGGTGTAGTAGCAGCAGGTACCTAGGTGGTAGCTGGAGGGCATTAAAGGAAGCCAACTGAAAGGTAAACTCCGGGGTTGCTATGTTCTGATTCATTTGTGACAAGCAAAAAAAGTCTGATGTTCTACAACAAACTTATTTCTTGGGGGTTAAAATCCTGATCCCAAGGACACCAGGCTTTCTCAACTGTCAACAACACACAAGAGTAGCTGATACCTTTATATAGTGACAACCATGGATATACAAAGGAGATTATCAAAAAAAATCGACACCTGTGAGATTCAAACTCACGCTCTCAAGGGGAATGCCTCGCTTTTCTGAAATAATAGCAGGGCATCGTTAACCACTCCGCCAAAGTGCCCAACACTTGATGAGCACCGATTCTGCTAAAAACTATGTATAGATTAAGATTTTGACTGACCGCCCTTTTCTGCCAGATCTTTGTGGATACCATCACGAACGACATCAACATCCCAAAGCCTCTTTTCCTTGTAATTTAGGCGCAACAGAGTCAATTTCTTCCATGCCCGAATTCCAAAAGACTTATTGAGCGCGCAATTGGTGCAGTCAATTGCCATTTGGCTTTCTCTATTTTCCCATTGTGTAGTAAAATTTTCGATTTCCAGCTGCATCTAACCCCGTTTTACTGGATTGGAGCAGGCATTGCACCTTGATAGTTTCTTTACTTTGTGCAGAAAACACAAAAATGTCTTCAGGATTCGTTTCCGCAGGAACGGATCAAGAACCAGTTGAACGCGATGACGAATGGCTCCGAGTCCAGCGAGAGCTCGAGGAGGAACGACGACGAAAAGCCGAGCTAGAAAAACACGATGGGAAGAGCTTATTCGAGGTCCTACAACAGAACAAGAGTGAGTAAAGACCGTCTCAAACAAACTAGAAAACTCTCAAAAAAAGCACACCCGGTTGACATACCCTGATGATCCTCTCTTGACGACATAAAGTGGCCAAACAGGAAGCCTTTGAGGAAAAGATCAAACTAAAGAACCAGTTCCGCGCACTCGACGAAGATGAAGTTGACTTCCTTGACTCAATCATGGAGTCGACTCGTGCCCAAGAGGCTACTGTGAAGAAGGAAACTGCTGAGCAATTGGAGCTGTTCCGGCGACAACGCGAGGAAGCTGAGAAGGCTGCGCTTGAAGATAATGCTGCGGATGTCACCCCCGCGACTGAAGGCGAAGATTGGAAGATCGCATCGCGCAAGCGCCGCCGTGAAAAGGGCAAGGATTTGCTTATTCCCGGCCGGAAGCGGAAATCCATGGGTGAGGAGGTCGCTGATGATACTACGAGTGAGCAAAGAACAAGCAAAAAGGCAAAGGAGGTTGTCGAGGGCAAGGGTGGTGAGAAGAGCCATGCTTCAACGCCGCCCGAACAGCGAAGCCAGGCGACTGTGGACCATTCTGCGAAGGACACGAAATCTGCAAGCCCAATTCAACCAAAATCAAAACCGGCTACTAGTCCTCCTGCGCCGTCTCTCGGACTCGCCGGCTACAGTTCAGACTCAGAATAATATCACAACATACCGCATTATGCAAGAACTCCGCCGGAACTCTACCCTCCGGCCTTATACTAAGCAGGGGCATGTAGACCACTGCATTAACTACATGCCACAGGATGCAGGCTTTGCATGGCCTCTACTCAAACGGTACTTTAGCAAAGCTCGGTTACTACCGTATTAGTTGGCATAGCGATGTATATATGCGAATTGGTTAAAGAAACTGGCTGCACCACCCACCGGGACACCACCTTCAAACCTCCCTCTACCACCACAATACATTATCTACCAGACATGGCTCATCTCATCTACGGCATCTCGTTACATTACACAGTATCATCGAGCATAGCCGTATGGGCGGTTTCACGCCTGATCTGGCTTACTTCGCCTCCGTCTCGTCATGCGTCACATATGCGTGCTGCTTCTCCTCCTGCTCCACGACCCTGCGCTCCAGGTCATGAACCATGTAATCCTCCTTCTTTGTGCCGGGAACAATCCAGGGGGAGTTCGAGAAGAGGTAGTTCATTTCCTCAAGGGGCAGCTTCTTCGTCTCGGGAAGAAGCAACCAGAAGAACACGGCATTGGTGAAGTTACAGATGATGAAGACGAAGTAGTAGCGGTACCCGATATCGGTCATGGCAATTGGCGTCACCTGACCGATCATGGTGTTGAAGGCGTAAGAGGTCATGGTCGCGAGCGAAACACCCTTTGCACGAGTGCGGGTGTCGAAGACTTCGGCGGGAATAATCCAGGAGAGAGGACCGCAGGTGCATGAGAACGAGAAGTTGTACAACCAGGTCATGATGATGAAACCCCAGTGAGCACCGGTGTTGTTGACCTCTGGGGGGAATCGCGCGAGCAGGATGCACGCGATGATGAAGGTGAGACAGTTGCCCAGGTTGCCACCGATCAAACTCCAGCGACGACCGAAGCGATCGATGAGCATCATGCACAGGAACTGGGCGACCAAGGCGATGATGGAGTTGATTGCCTGGTAGCGCAGTGTCTCATCGCCCGAGATTCCGATCTGCCCGTAAATATCAACGGAGTAGTACCTATGCGGTCAATTCATTGTACTCTTTCATCTGATCTTGCCTGCGATTCAACTTACTGGATCGCCGACACACCAGTCATCTGCACGGAAGCCTGGAGTGCGCAGCAAAGGAAGAGACGACGGAAGGACGACCGGTTCTTGAAAAGCTCCAAATAGGACTTGGCCTCTTCCTCATGCTCGCGAGTGATGGTTTCCTGAATCTGGTTGTATTCCGCACGGACCCAGGCATCGTTCTCGTCACCGTAAGCGTGGAGCCTTGCCAGAGTCTTCAGCCCTTTCTCGTGGTGCCCATTATCAATAAGCCAGCGGGGTGACTAGCCATCGGCATGCATTAGCGATAACGAATGCGAGGAACCTAAGAAACTATTTCTCACCTCGGGGAACAGCATGATCAGAAGGCCAAGGAAGACCGCCGGGACGATCTGCAGACCGAGAGGAAGCTGCCACTGAGCATTGTTTGTCTCCTTGAATCCGATATAGGTGCCGTAAGAGATCCAGGCAGCGCAAAGAGCTCCGACTCCAAGCATAAACTGCTGGAGGGAAGTGACACGACCACGAATATCCGGATGGCAGATTTCTGCTTGGTATAGAGGCACGATCATAGTGAGGAAACCGACCCTGGTATGGATTAGAGACTGCGCTCTGGTAGCTTGGGCTGTGGCTATCAGCACTTACCCAACTCCAGCGAAGAATCTTCCACTGTACAGATAGTCGATAGTCTGGGCCCCGGTTTGCAAACCTCCACCAAGACAAAAGACGATGCAACCGATGATGATGGTCCATCGTCGTCCGAGGTAATCACCAGTAGGGCCAGCGAATGCAGAGCCGAAGAAAGCACCTGCTGTGAACATGGAGACCACCAAACCACTAACAACGGTTAATCTGCATTCCCCTTCCATGGATTTTTCGGTTGGGTCATGCAAAACCTACGTCTCTGTATCATCTGGGTCGTTAAACGTCGTCTTGAATGACCCGCTGGCAATCACTTCTGCAATAACACCCAGGTCATCTGCACGCGAAACGATAATTAGTCGACTTCGAGTGACCAGAGAAGGGGGGGCACACGCACATCCGTAAAGAAACGATCCCAGGGAGGCGAAAACGCCGACGAGGAACTGGCATGAAGGTAAGTATGGCTCGCGCGACGCTAAGCATCAGAGCATACCTGGTACCACGCAGGAGAGAGACGCATGTTTACTAAGGTTGCGCTCAGTGGTCGAGAATCTGGAGAAGAAAAGTGCGGAGACAAAATGGCAGAAGAGGAGCAGGACCCGCCATTCTTAAAGAATCTGGGGATGAAACTACACGACCAACACACGGAGCGAGCTAAGTGTTCCGAGGTCAAGACAACAGGAAGATGGCATTGTCACTTGCTACTCAATTGATGCCCGCCGGGTTAATCCCATAAGGACGCAGGAGCACCTGGTACGATTGCCACGAAGCTTGCGACAGCCGTCCCCCGTCGGCCTAGTGACTTGACAAAGATCATGAGCAGAAAGCCGACTCGAAGATCCTGGCGAATAAAAATCTTGCGTCCGATCCTGCAAAGCGAGACGGAGCGTCAGCCGATTTTGCGGAGAACCGAAGCCACAAACCAACGTGGGCGAGAACGGCCGAAGCTGATTGACGGAAGATCCCATGGCCAGACCGCGGCCTCACCACCAAATCAGACGGCGCCATACAATCGCCAGTTCTCAAACCCCCGCCGGACTTGACAATCTTTCTGCTGTCGCACCTGCAACCGCCCCGCAGGGGATTTGCCTGTTCCGATCTGGCTGCCTCGACAAGCCCGCCTGGCATTAATATTAGCTGCCCAGTCGCCTCGCCTAGGTCTTTGAACATTCAGCAAGAGCACTTCTATTATTGTGATTTATTTTCCCTGCCAATCACTACCCGATATTTGGATTGTGTCGACCTCACTCCCCGATTAGTTACCTTTCTTTGACCGCCATGACGACTTTTACAAAGCTCAGTGAGCAGGACGCTCCGGCCATCTCCATACACCCGGACCGCCGCATCTCGAAAATCAACCCTAATATCTATGCCGGCTTTGCAGAGTAAGCCTGGCCCTGTGGCTGATTAGCCTTTGACCAAGGCCGCACTAGCTGACCCTTGCCACTAGGCACATGGGCCGCTGCATCTATGGGGGCATCTATGATCCTGGTAACCCTCTGTCAGATGAAGACGGCTTTCGGAAAGACGTTCTCGAAGCCCTGAAGGGGCTGAAGATCCCTGTGGTTCGCTACCCTGGTGGTAACTTTACCGCGACATACCATTGGATCGATGGAGTTGGCCCAAAGGACCAACGGCCTGCTAGGTATGCTCCACTGCCCTTCCATAGGACCTATAATACTTTGTACTAACTTAGGTCCAGGCCTGAACTTGCATGGCTGGGCACAGAGACCAACCAGTTCGGCACTGACGAGTTCTTGAAGTGGTGTGAAGTCCTTGGGACCGAGCCCTATCTTTGCCTGAACATGGGCACTGGTACATTGGATGAAGGTAACGCTCAACTTCTAGCTCACATTGCACCTGTCTAACTAGTCTTCCTAGCTCTGGCCTGGGTTGATTACTGCAACGGTACCCGTGATACCTACTATGCCAACCTTCGACGCAAGAATGGCCGACAAGAGCCGTACAATGTACGTGTCATATTCATATATTGCTGTAATATTGTGTACTAACATCATGCAGGTCAAGTACTGGGCACTTGGCAACGAAGTCTGGGGTCCATGGCAGGTCGAGCAGGCAACCAAGGAGGAATATGCTCACAAGGCATACCAGTGGGCCAAAG